GAATTTACCTTTTCGCTTCATACAACTTAAGAGTTCCGACCATGAAATGTCGCTACACTCTAATGAGATCTATACCACGGTCAACAATGTTACTAGAGATTATCAATTTAGAAAATGAAGCTGTTGAATCACCTGCAGACAAGAAAAGTGAAAAAACTGAAGGTGTTTCGACAATGCTATATAATCGTGTTCAAGCGACGCACGCATCAATCCCATTTTTGACTCAGATTGCAAAAAGGTTAAATTAAATTAAAAAGTACCGATGAAAAAGAAAAAAATATTGGAGGAAAATAACTTTACGACTATAACGAAAAAAGAGGCGGGCCCTTGATATTTTCTTTATTTGAATTAGATTTTATAGAGTTTTTATAAAAATATAACAATTATGATAATTATAAACACTTTTTATATTACATTTAATCATGTATTATTGTATTTTGTTAAAAGACAATAATTTTTTTAAAGAAGATTATAATATTTGGTTTTTTAATATAAAGATTATTTAACTTACATATTTTAATAATAATAATAATAATATAACTTTTTTTTGTGTATAGGCGAATGATCATGTGAGAAGAAGAATTAAGATTATAAGTGTAAGAAGAGATCTGAACCCTTGATCGCCTTCAATCTCAAACTCATCTATGAATCGCTTTTGATACAGGGATTAATCAGTGCATCTCATCTCGCTCTTGATACAAGTTTTGACCTTTTTCTACTAATTAAAGGAAAAAGTTCAGAAAAATACAATAAACTTTATTATTTTGAATGATTAATATTTGAAAAAAAATTCCTCAATGAATAAACTATTGATTTTCTCATTTTAAATGAATTTTTAGAAAATTGGTTAATTACATCATTTTTAACCCAAAAAAATCTACCTATAATCGGCTACGAATAAAGTAAAAAAAAACATAAACAAGTTTTACCATTCCTAAACTCTACACGATTTAAACTCCTTGCACCAAACAACATCGCTTCCCCTCAGCACCCTTTGTCAGTTGCTGCTTCGTCATCGTCCATTCTCCATGTTGTCCATCGCCGTCATTAGCTTCTACCATCGACTTCCCTCTTTTTCATCTGTTTCTTATTTTGATTCTTCATCTTTTATAAGAATTTAACGGAGCACGTATAGACATATCAAAAAGATGATGAATCAAAAGACAAAAAAACGATCAAGAGGAAAAACGATGACAGGGGCCAATGACAGTGATGAGAGCGGACAACAATGGAAAGACGAGGGGAACCGATGCCATCAGGTGCAACTGGTTCGCAGGTTTGGCAACGATAAACTGATTTAGGTTTTCTGTAAAACCTTTTGTAGTTGGTTATAGGTAACTTTTTGGATTAACAAGATGTAGGTAACCAATTTCAAACAATTGAAATAGGAAAGTTTGCCAGGCTTTTCTTCTTTCCGATATTAAAATGCTTTTTCAGTATTGTATACTACATTTGTAAATTTTCACTGTAAATAAATTTTAATTTGAGGACTTTGTTAAAAATAAAACGTGTTATAGTCTCATTTCTGGTGACCTAATTCGATCATTTTTTAGTTCAAATGTTGATGGTCTAGAGGATGACACCTTCCGATGGTCTACCATCCTCATCGACATCACCTTCATATTTGTATCAATCTCTCCAATCAACATCGATTGCCTTTACAACCACATATCCTTTTCATCAATCAATCTAAGATTTGTTTTACGCTTTTCTGACCGACTGTTCATCGAGATAACACCTTGTTAGACACAACCCATTTGGTACGCTAGTTGGATAACACATTTCCAAAGGATTGGCGGGCCCGAACTGGACCGTTATAAATTAATGGGTGGATATGTGTGATGAAAACAAGTTGGAAACGCTTGGCTGACATGTTTATATATTTTTTTAGTCCTTAGTGTAGTCCTTTCGTGCACTTTTATTGTTCTTTTTTTTTCTTTCTTTAACCATAGTTGGAATGGCTTTTTGGAGTAGTTTTTTTTATACGTTTTTGGTATGTTTTTTGTGCAGATTATATGAGGGGTTGAAGGCGACATGGTGGATGAATTAGATGGATTGAAGAGTGACGCCAAGAAAGATGTGAAGAAAGACGAGATTTGTATCCATGATGATTAAGAGTTGGAGCAAAAATATTGAAAATCTGAAGATCGGAGATTATGTAACGCTTCGTGGGCGCGAAGGATAGATTTCAGGGTTGCGGAAAAAAAAAACCTCTCAGGATTTGCCCTCTTTCACGTACATGAAGCCCACCTTTCTCGCCAGTGAACCTTGTCCGAAAAAAAACACTTAACTTTCTGTTTGCTTTCATCCCCGCTGCAGCAAAAGCTCTTATAGAAGATATGGCATCCAACAAGTTCTTGTTTCAAACAGACAGGTCAGTTCTGAAGAAAGAAAAAAAGTCAGATGTTGATGCTCTTACACTTTTAACAAACAAGATTGACTCGTTGTCAACCAATATATCGAACCAAATCAGTAATATGGGAGCGAGTCATGCTACTTCTGAAGCAGCGGTACTTTCTTATGAGACGTGCGGCAACCAAGTTTAACTATTTACATCCTCGTCCATTTTTCGCTCATATTTTAAATATGTAAAAACAAAGGAAAAAAATAATATTCATAAAATATTACATACAACTCCAATAATTTATCTATTTTAAATATTAAATATCAACTATATTATTAAAATATATAAACATATTTAACACTCAACAAACTTTTTATAAAATGTTAGATATTTTCAACGGTTTTTTCATAAGTTTCTCCCAAATAGAAATTAGTGGTGGACCAAAAATTTTACCTGAGCGAGTGCACTTTTAAAGTGGATCAAAGACCCGTAAAGTTGTCCGATGTCACATCTATATGATTGCAAATACCAACCAAAGGCATCTCTAAATAACCAATTTCAGCCACATAACCATTAAATCACCATATAATCAGTAAATCACCATATAAGATATAACCAATTTCATTAAATTTAGACCTAATAATCACCTAAATCAGTAAATCACCACTTTTGGGTTTTGATTTCAAAACAGAAAGTGCATTTAGAGGCCAGAGTACACAGCAAAGTAAGGAACTCAGAACAGCAGAAGTGAGATAACAGAGAAGGACGGACTTACCGGGAGGCGGGAGTTACCGTGGCCGGCTGGCCGTCGACCGCCGAGTGCCGCCTCCGCCTCCGCCTGCGTCTACGCTGGTCGTTGCGCTCTCCCCGTCTCGCGTCTCGCCTCCGTCTGCCATCTACGCTGGTCAGTGTCGTGGTCTGGTCACCCTCCTCGACTCCTCATCGGCTCGTCCTCACACAGGCTGCAAAGCTCCGTCGTTCTCGCCTCTCGGGATTGGAAGGGGGAGGCCGGTTGAATTTTTTGTGTTCTGCAACCTAATGGATTACACTATTGAGGGTTAACTGGGGAAAAAATCACAGGGGCCAGGGCCCCTATAGGCCCTTAGGCGGTCCGCCCCTGCCGATGTGCTTTCAACCGAATTCCGTCATTTAGAGAGATTCTAAAAGATTTTTTGGTTTATTTCTATAGACTTTTTTGGTTTTTTGGCTGATTTTGAAGAACTTTTTATGTTGTTTTTTGTATTTTCTAATTTCTAGAAGCCCCACTCAAATTTTAACGAATTTTACATACAAAAAAAAAATTTACCTGTGAAATTCAGTTGAACAGGACCCCACTCGGACATGGATAGGTCTGCCTCTATAGAAATGAAAATTTCAAATTCTATAAAAAGTTCACATTAATATTTTCTCTAATCTTAATAATTATAAAATTAATTATATTATTAAAATATTAAATGTTTTTAATACCCTAATAATGTTATTATAATAAACTAATAATTTATATTTTCTTTGTTTGTAAAAAATAATTAATATATGTTCCTTTTTAAATTTAATTTTGGAAAAATTAATTAAAATAATAATTTCGTCTTGTACTTTCACCTCTTAGTTATTTCTCTTTAATAAAATATATTACCAAGTTAGCAGATAACATGTTCGTAATTTGCAAAGGGATCAAAGTGTAAAACAAAGAAAGATTTTAAACAGTATAGATTTGGTCCCTACACTTATGGACCTGGTTCAAAACCTTTTTTTTTGTTTTACACTTTGACATCTCCCACAAATTATAAACCTAATGACACTTTGATGATTTAAAAAAAATGACTAAAAGATAAAACCGACATCTATAAATAATTATTTTAATTAATTTTCTAAATATCAGAGATTTTTCATTAATTCTTCAAATATGGAGAAAAATTTATTATCTTCTCCTTCTCCCCATTTGGAGAATAGTTTAAAGATATGTTGGAGATTTTATTAATATATAAAATAAATTTTAAAGAATAATATAAATTTTCTCTCCTAAAAATAAAGGAAAAAAAATACAATTACCACATATTTTCCTTTTCAAATATAAAATGTTTTATGTTTTTTTTTTATTTGTTTCTCTATTTTGAAAAATAATTAGAGAATTATTCTAAAACCAATTTTCACACAAAATATTTAGTTTTACTATTTTTAAACAAAAAGGTGAATTACCAACAATCCTAATTGGTCTCACACGACACCCAACTTAGGAATCCAGTGCGAGTGAGTTAACTAAGACTTACCTGACAGCAAGACATATGAAAGGGTTTAGATTCGAACCCGAGATCAGCAACAAACATTTACTCATCTCTTAAGACAACCGTACTTTCTGAAGGGCTCTGGTATTTCTAATTAAGAGATTTTATCGAAAATACTGTTTTAACATTTATTAAAATTCTGGTTTTTTTTGAACGATTCTTTTTCTTGAATCTTGATAGAAGATAAGCTTAGAAATGTATTGAGAATAAATTGATAAAAGAATGAGTTTTAAGATAATAAAGAAAAGTTGGTTTTGTTGCCATTTTGGGTACCAATTAGCAAGGATTTAGGAATTATTAGGATAGGAAGAGAAGAAGAAGTAGGGCATGTTCATAACCCACGCTTCCTTTTGTGAGAGTAGACCCTTCATTCTTCAATCATCGCCACGAACAACTTACAAGACAAATTTAGAGAAAGTAAAGGGGGGAAAAGCAGAAGAAGACAAAAGGTTTCTGGGTCCCTTTTGATTGAAAGAAATCAAGAAATCAAAGACAAAAGGAAAGAACCCAGAAAACCTCTTTCTTTTGCTTCCCCTTAATTTTGTTTTTTCCATTGATGCTTTACCCAAATTCACCACACCAAAAGCACCCACGAAAAAGGTGTCTTTTTCCCCAATTCTTTTGCATCCATGATTACATAAAACTCTTTTGAGAGAGTGAATTTTGCTGTCATTCGTATGCAGGTTATCCCATTTGTCATGATTCTTTAGGGTTTTCAATTTTAGTGTTTATAAGTTGGTTTTGATTTGTGAAAAAGATAGAAAAAGAGAGATGCAAACGGAGAAATCAGAGCAGTTAAGATCGGTGGCATCAGATACAAGAGGGAAGCATCGGATTTCGGCTGAATTGAAGAGACTTGAGCAAGAAACTCGTTTCTTGGAGGTTTGATTTCTTCTTTTTTTACATTTTAAGTTGAATTTTTTTGTTTTTATTGCGTTTCTTTCTGCTCTAATCTATATGGGTTCTTGTGGGTTTACTTCAAAATTGAACTTTTTTATTTTATAAGTTAGTTTCCTCGAATTTGATCACATTTCATACGTGGGTTTGTTTGATATTTTCGTTTAGGATGATAGATGGTTTGCAAATTCATGTCAGTTTTCCATGGAAACGCTTTACTTCTGATAGGTTTTTTGTAGTTTGTGATGCCTCATTTTGTTAAATTGTTAAGATATGATGAGAAATTGTCTCAATTCAATGCAAGTTTCTGTCCTTTCTGGCAAAAAAATAGCATTTAAGGATGGATATAATGGTTAGTGCAGTAGTGAGTCAGTTCTTTTGAATCAATGGCAGAAACAGAGGTTATTATTGTCAGGGATTTATGAATCAATTTGCCCGTTTTATTCGGGATCACGAGAGGGGCAGGGGAGGGGGCTTTTGGTACATCTTTGGGATCTTTTATCTTGTTGTACTGCCTAATCTCAGTCTTTGATTCATTCATGGAGAAGTTCAATTTTTTGATAAGGTTCAAGTGTCTTTAGATGGGGTTTAGAATATGATATGATCCAATTGCTTACATTTTTGATCACTTTCGAATATCATATTTCAGATGTTTCTCCATTTTAGGAGAACAGATCGAGCTTTTAGAAGTAGTAACGTGCTAGGAGACTAGTTGGTCTGCTAAACCTCAAATTCATTGACCATGTTGTTAAAACATCAAATTTCGGTTTATAGTCATATGTATAGGTCCCATGGTTGTGTTTGTGTTCTCGAGGGCCATCTCAACTGACAAATAAAGGCTAGGCTTCTCAGGGACATTGGGGAGTGTTCTAGCTGTTATCTTCAGGACCCATGGGATTAGTCGAGGTGCGTGCAAGCTGGCCAGACACCCACGGTTATTCCAAAAAAGATCTTGCACATGCTCCAATGCTATCATATCCTCTAGGCTATTTACTAGAGCAAACTAGACAAGTGAACATTTTTCTTCCTCGAGAGTCGTGTTTGGACGCCTCTTCATTTAGAAGAACATGTCCTTCCATCCGTGGAAAATATGATTTCTGTTAAAGATTTCCATAAATAAAATTGTTCCTAATATAAGTTTAATGGATTATAAACAAAGCTGCACAAATGGGTGCAGCACTTGAAATATCACAGATTATGTGAAAAGGGTTGGTATGAATATATATATATTGAACGAGAACGAAGTACATATCTGTTGTTTGGTGATTTGGACTTGCACCCCTAATTGACCCTAACTGCAATTGTAGATGGATATGCAAATGGTGCACAAATAGTTATCAAAATTAAAAAGAAAACGTTTTGGTCATGGCTTATAGCTGAAACCATCGTGGTTTTTGTTTGACTCTACTACAGCTCACAGGCTTAGGTTCTGGTGGCGGTTTCTATTATGCCACAGGGTTACTGTTTTATGCCTTAATTAACCATGCTCCCTTAGCACGTGGGATGCCTTATGTAGGCTTGTCCATGGGTTGAGTCTTGATCTTGATCTTGATCGGGTAAGTAATCTTATCTGATCCATTTGTATGATCCAATAATTCAAAAGATTTGATCCAACTATCCAATAGATCAAACCCATTAGACAGATCAATACTTGGGTCGATTCATGATTCTTTTGGGTCGATCCATTTAGATAGTGAGCGTGTGAGTTTAAGAAAAACAAGCAATAGATAGGCCGATTTTGAACCATGATCTGTAGGTAGTTTAATACTTTACCCATCATATCTCGTTTCCGACATTTGTGGGTGGGGCAAAAGAATTGCATTTTTGTCCGACTCAGTCCTGTTCTGTTCCAGTCTAATGTTTCGTCAAACATGAAACAACATGATTTTGTTGTCTTGTCCCACCCTATCCCTCGTACCAAACGCACACTATCGAAATGGAAGATTGGGACTGATGTGTGTTTGTTGGTAGTTGGGTGGCTGCAATTAACGATGGAAAGTTGGTTACAAGTGGGAGGTGTGAGGGCTAAGTTACAACATCCCCTTCAAGATGGAAAGGGAAGAAGAGTTCACTCCTAAATTTTTTTGTTTTTTTTTATTAACCTGGATATCCAACCCGCTATGCGAGCCGACTAATCCCAGGGCGACCACTTGCTTTGCAAAGCCCGGAGTCACCGCATTTGAATCTCCATGGCCACAAGGGGATCTTTATTCCTCCTTGGATTTGAACCTGGGACCTCCTAGTACTTTTGACCTTTGGAGCCAAGCTCAAACCAATCTAGCACCACCCTTCTGGTTTTCACTCCTAAATTTGAAACAATATCAATGATGTTGCAACCCTTTTTTACTACCAAGCTTCTTATTCTCGGTATTGTCTATATGCCTTCCTTTTGTGTGTATCCCTTGACAACCAGCCGAGCTTTATATCTTTCAATTGTCCCACGTGCATGGTGTTTAATCTTGAATACCCATTTACAACCGATGGTCTTCTTACAAGAGAAACCAAACCAAACAAGCACCGTATGTCCCGTCCAAAGGTGGGGTCTTGGGGGTCGAGATGTACACGGACTTGACCTCTACTCCCAAACAGTTGAGTGGTTGTTTCCGTGAAGACCTCTAGCATGT